ACTGGAACAGACTTGCCCAGTGTTTTAGTATAAAGAAATATAACTTCCATTCTCATAAAAGAGGAGGAGGAAGCTGCAATGTACTGAAGGATTTAAACTAGGATTTTTAATCTTGTGAAGATAAAATGTAATTAGAAGTACTTGAAGAGCTTGCATAAACTTAGGGCATAATGTGTAACTGTGGATTGTGTCACTAAACGCAGTGGAACTTCTAGTGAAAATACCCAAGTTGTGCTGTATTTTTAATTGATTGCTTGTTTATGTATGAATTAAATTCACTGACTTTTGTGTATTTTCTTCCAAAACCTGTAATTTCATATTTTATGCCATCAACTACTTTAAATTAATATTGGTATCATAAATTAAGGGATAAAAAGTCAAGTGCAACAGGAATAATTTTGGTGAATGAAAGGTCATCTTAGTCAAGCAGAATATTATGTAATACTGTGTATATTACAACTAGTAGGGGTACCTGAGTCACCTGCATTTGACTTCATTTTGCATTTGATATTTTCTTTTTTTACTTGAGGAAAACTGGAGGTTTGTATTGTTTAGGCTAAAATGCTAGAGAAGAAAGCCATACTAAGGAAGAGGAGAGGCTTTGATTCAGCTTTTGTGTCTGGTGGGAACATTTTCTCAAAATGTAGGTGCTATTTCCTGTAATCAAGGGCTTTCCAGAGCCTGATAATAATTTCCCAGCTGTATCATTTTGGTGAATTATTTTTTAGCCTTGGGTTATTTCATGACTGGTTTTGCATATTCAGAATGGGAGAAGAGATCATATTCATCTTGATGATAGAAAACAGGGAATAGAACTCCCACAGCTCCCTCTCCTTTCCCTCCACCTTGTGGAAAGTTTGGCTTTGTGCTAAAGCGTGAAAAAAGCCTTAACTGCAGTGTGTCAGGCGTATTTCAGCTCGATTTGTGTCAACCCTAATAAGTCAGCTGACAAAGTAATAAATTGGGTGTCTGTTCAAGACCTGGCACCTGTACAGGAAATAAAAGGGGATTTCAGTTGCAGGAGATTTGCTTTGTTTTGCAAATGGACCTTTTCTCAAGGCTCCTCCACCTCTTTTCCCCTTCTTCTCTTCACTGAAATCATGTTATCAAAATGTTTATTTCAATTGTGACTGGAGCTGGTTTCTCATCTGGAAAAGAAAGCTCTATGAGTATCCTTGGAAGTGGAAATCCTTATGCTTTCCACTCAGAAACAAAGACTTACAGAGCATGTAATTATTCGTGTATCCTGCTGTTACATAAATGGTCTGAATAATTTCAAATTATTGAGAAACTGCCTTTGTTCAACATTTTGAAACTTTACATTCATATAGTTCAAATCAGGCTAGGAAAACAGAATTTATTTAACCCAGGGAAACTGTATTAGTAATCTCTCACTATTTTTCATGATAATATAACCTTGTGACCAGGGTGTCTTAACATGTTTCCCTCTGTGTCTGACCTCCAAGGATGCAAGTCTGTTACAGCCCCTGAGAGCAGAGCTTTTGTAAGTCCAGCTGTAGGGTTGTGTTTTTAGCTCAGGGGCACCAGGTCAGTTCCCAGTGTGACGTGAGGTGGTGACTGCAATAGTGGTAAAAGCTGAGGCAGTTTCCTTGGGGTATTCACTTTTGGTACACTGATCTTCCTCCATTCTTGGAAGAGAGACAACAGCTCCTGTATCTGACCCTTTTCCTTTTTGGTGACTGTGCTGGGCACCATGGAAGAAGTTTTCTAAAGCTGTGGTTTCAGGCTCTTTGATTGATCTGTGAGTTGGAGGAAGCAAAATGGGACATTGCATTCTTTGAAATGGGCAGCTGTCTTTTGTTTTTTTCCAACTGAATTTCCTCTACCTTTTCCCTCCTTCATTATCCCATAGGGATCTACCAGAAGTAGATCTTTATTTCCACATGGAGAGTTCATCTCTCAGAATTTCCTTCTTGGACTTTTTTAATTAGAGGAAGTGATAATCTGACCCAGTGGAAGGTGAAGGGGGAAATGATTTATGAAAAACAATTATTATCACTGTTGAGTAAAGTATGTATGAACTTTGGAAACAAGGAGATGAGAACTGTCTCTCAAAGTCAAAACAGTTGCCTAAGTGCACTTTGCATGTAATAAGAAAATTTTCAGCAGCAATGTTCGAAATCCAAAAAATTAAATCTATGGAATGTATATAATAAGGTTTTATATACAGTCTTTTTTAGGATTTATTACTCCTTATGCAGAGGATTGGACTAGATGAAAAAAGTCTTACTTATCCACTTCTGTCTTATTTATGGTTATAACATTTAAATGAGGAAAAAAATTTCCTCAGTTCTTTTAGTATTTTCAAGAAGTGAAAAAAGAACTTGAGGGAGAAAAAAAGGGGAATATAAACCTTTAAAACTCCAAGTGAACTTCCAGAATTGTAATTGAATGCAATCTCTGGCCTTCCCTATCTATCACACTGTAAATTTTTTAAAAATACTTAGCTAAGCAAGTCTTCTTTCTCCAGCATTGCATAGTAATAGGATGAACTACTCTAAATTAATTATGGTAATCAGCTAACGTAATGTGCTGTAGAGTTGTGATTCAAGCATGAAGGATAGAATGTGCAGCAAATTATATATATAAAAAATGTGTTGCAGGGTTAGCTCACATGTTACACCTTGGCCTCAGCCTGTGGAAAAAAAAAGAAAAGGACTTGAGGGTGAAATACTGAAAGCTGATCAAAAAACGGAGGAAATGTTCCAGTTCACATATCTTTGGATGTACTGCAAAAGCATTATGTGTTAATAAAAGCAAAAGAATAAAGTAAGAAAACAGTACCTAGTAATAATTGATACTCTATGTTGCAAGAGGTGTTTTAAATTTCCTGGTCATTGAAAATATGTTAAAAAATGCCCGCTTCTTTGTGTTTGAATAATATCAGCTCCCTTCTGACCTGTTGTGAAATGGATTGAGAATTTATACTGAACTTTACACATTCCTCATGAGGCGAATTGTAAAAATCTGGTTGGACACATATAATCTTCTTTAAAAATATTTATAGAACACAGCTCTTATGAAAATTAAACATGTTCCAGGTGTGTATGGTCCACTTTCTGGGCATAGTCAATTTGTTTTTGAAGTTGCAGATACACCTGTCCTTGCTAGTCAAGAGATGTTCTTCATGGGTGAGAGCTGCTGAAATGAAATTCCACTGTATTTTGTTGTATTTATCCAAGAGAAAAACTGGTATGATTATAGTAAACGTAAGAATGAGTTGTAGGTAAGAGGTGCATCTGGCTGTGGAGAAGATATTAGCTCTCTAGCAAAAAAAAAAAAAAAAAAAAGGTGGGGTTTTGGAAGAAATACCATGGAGAGAAGTGGTACTGAGACAAGAATGTGCACACATGGACAGAGATACATGGATAATCTTTTAGCTGATTTCAATGTAATTTGAATTTCCAGATGAGACTAAAGGGAAAGAGAGATGTTGCTCTGTCTTTCAGCTGAGATTTTGCAAGGCTGTGACACCTACATGCAATTTGTTACCACCTCTATTCAAGTACTGTTTTGCAGCTATGCCGTCTGCAATGTCCTTTGGAAGCTCCCTGAGTTTGAATCCCATAGTTTTCCTTCAACCATGAATATATTTTATAGATTTTTAAAGTCTTGCACAACTTTGTACAAAGGTGTTGCTGATAATTCTTCCACTTCCCCCCTAAAAAATACCAGCAGCACAACAACTGAGAAATAAATATTTTTTTTGTGTGTAGAGGATGGTGCTAATGATTATCTTATTTCTGACTCTTAGGCCCTAAACTCAGGTTCATTTAATTCATTGATATATAGAAAAGGATATGTGTGATTTTCCTACAATTAGTATCTTTTCCCTACTTTTTCTTTCTGCTTACTGCTTTTCAGACAATGATGCAGTTCAGTTCACCACTGTTTCACTACATTTTCAGCAACACCACGAAGGAGAGTAGCAGAAGGAGGTGTGAAGAAGCTGCTGCAAATCCTGCTACAGCCTAGTTTCTTCTAGGAAAATGCCAGTTTAAATACTTATCAATCTGCAGCTGAGGCACCATTTTGCAGCTACCTAAGCCACTTGTCACCTGGGCTACCCCAGTGCTACAGCCTCTCAGCTCTCATTTGCTGTGTTTATTGCTTCTTGATCCTTCCAAAAGCTCACGCAGCAAAATCAAGGCAATCTCTTGGAGGTGGCTCAGGCCGTTAATGAAATGAGGTGGTGGGGTACCTTGGTAACCCAAATTTGCATTAACCTGAGCAGCTGTGGAGAGTTGCCACTGGATTTGGCCTGACCATCCCAGAGCTACTTTCTTTCTCCTTCTGGTCTCAGCTCTGCCCTGTGTTAGGTCAGGGATAGCTACTCAGTCACTGCAGTCCAGGAGCTCAGCAGGACAAAAGCTGCTGTCTGTGGGCTTTCCTGTGTTTGCAAATTCATGATTTCTTCTGTCTCTTTCTGGCAACCCTGCCATTTCTCTCTTTTCAAAGGTACTGGGCTTTGGCTCCTCCCGCTGCATTTATCCTCTTTTAAAGTGAAGTGATATTCTGAGCAGATTGAATATTTCATTGCTCCCAAAAGTGCTGTCCTCTCACCTGTCCTTCCTCATAATGGAAACAGTCAAAGTATTTTAATGTCTTACATTAGTGTTTATGCATAATTGGTGCTACACTTTAGTCACTTCTGACTTGTGAGCTAGCAAGGATGGGTTTCTTTCAGATTTGGGAAACCAGGAATACCATAGCACCTGCAGAGCACAGGAGTGCTTCAGCCCTTGAGCATGCCTAATGGGTGGTGAGTGGGTGAAAGTTGGATTTAGAAACCTTGTAGGTGTTAAGGAAAGGCTCCACTGAAGTCAATAGTAGTATTAGTTGACAAGGTTGCAGAACTGGGACACTGGTTTTCTGTTACAAAAAGACTCCCAGCTGAAAAATAGTCAATATATGGTAAAAAGATTCTGAAATTTAAATTGACAAAATTATTGATAAAACATTTTGGATCTCTATTTCAGTGTTTTATTCAGAAGTGTTGACCTAATAAGTTACATCTATGTATGGAATAACTACAGACTCTTTGAGCTGCCCTGGGACTCACCATGGACGTGGTATTTGACACTTCTGGGAGTGGACTTTGCATACTACTGCTTTCATCGCATAAGCCATGGTAAGATTGCACAAGTTTTTCATGTTTTTAAATACAAAATATACTAATTGTCTATTAATGAAATTAGGTATTTGGTTTTGTTTCTATACATATTCTACTCTAAGCGTTTATAGCTGCTCTTCTCAAAGGTTAGCAATGACACACTTTTACTTTAAGCAAGGAGAACAGTTTACGCATTATACTCAATAGACTAAACATGATTTTGTGAAAGGAAGGAGTATCATATTGAAAGTACCACAGCACTTCAGAAAGCACCACTTCACAGAAAGTGAAGTAACATTAAAAAAAATAGTAAGTACATAAAAATTATAATAGAGAGCAATAAAAAGCAAAGTGGCGAAAATAATGGAGCCCGTGTAAATCATGCCAGTTGTTTCTGTACATATATATGGTGAAGATGTAATAGTACTGATCCCTTTGTGTCTGTCTTGTTAAATATTTTTGTTCTCTAGTCACAACATATTTTTGCTCTAGCCTTTTATACCCTATCTGAAAATGCAATAACACTTTCTATCATTCCTTATTGTGGGCCTGACCGAAAGTCCGTAGCAATGAAATAAGAATCTTCTTCTTTAAAAGACTCTGGACTGGGATTCTCAAAGCAGAGCGTCCACTGCTCGCAAAAACTTTGAGATCTGGTTATGGTACTTTATGTAATGTCCTTTCAGAAAGGGAAAATGCTTTGATGCCGATAGGTCAGCGGAATATATGGAAGTAGGTAAGAAAGGAGCCTGAGCTGCTGCTGCAAGGAGTGGGAGGGAGGAAGGGTCCCTCCCAGGTGGAGATGGCAGGCAAGCGTGAGAACAATGCAGGGTGGGTGTAGAGGGACAACAATGGTGGGGGGACGAGGTGGGAGGCGAGGAAGCAGGGGGAGCTGGAACAATGCACTGGGGGGGACATCACGGCCAGGAGCTGGGAGCCCCGCGTGGGTGTATGCAAGACTGGGAATATGCTTGACAAACAATGACATTAACAGTGCTGGCAGGGCTACAGCCTCAGGCTGAGAACTGGACCAGAGCAAGAGGCTATTCCTGAATTTTAAAATAAAAATAATTGTCTTCGAGTGTTAGAAAATTCACTAGCTTGGCTGTGGCTTCACTGGAATCAGTGGTAAAATTCCCACTGGCAGAGAAGGGAACAGGGTCATCTCTGGGCTCCCTAAAGCAATTGGGCGCATTTCTGTTCCTGCAGCAACTTTATGCTTACTCTTCTGTTTTTCTATCTTTTGAGGGAATTGCACACTTTGAAATGAATCTTAATGGGTTTTAGAATTAAAATACAAACCAATTCTATATGTCATGGAGTAGAGGAAACTGTAAGAAAATGCTGTTCTTCTCTTAAGAAAGTCAGTGCTGAGCTGTTCTATAAAAATTTAACTCTTGTTTGGGTTACAGAAATATTGCTCACTGTTAGCTCTCTGCTACTCAGCAGGGAACTGATACAACACTGTAGAAAATCACTCTAAATGGAGATTTTAATTTAACCAACACTCTTTTCTCTGGTCAAACAATGATGAAATTTGTAGCAGAGCAACACAGCTGTGAAAGTCAGCTGCATTGGAAGTTGCTGAGGAAATTTAAGTGTAGGAGATGGTTTTAAAAACTCCTGAAAAATACCTTGGCATGTTGAGAAGGATACTGGAAAAGCCTCTGGTACAAGCAGACAAAACACACCCTTGCACTAGAAAGTGACGGGGCCTGCTGATTCAGGCTTGGATCCTAGAGCAAAGTTAAAAATTAATAGCACATGTATATCCCAGGAAATTCAAGCTGTGTGGGTTTGTGTGTGGGGATGTAAATAACAGCACTAATTGTTTCAAACTGAAAACCTAAAATGCAGATACATTTTTTGGTTGTTTCTTTGTACTTGATGTAGTTTTGATACAAGGAATTATCATCATCATGTAGCTTTTCCTAGGTCCAAGAAATAATTTGGTAACTCAGCCCCCTGACCTTTTTTACTACCTTATTTCATGTTGTCCATGCAATAACTGGATTTTTCATTCTACTATTTCACAAGTAGTCTGAATCATTATGGATTTTAAAGTTTCTTCTGTAGAAGAAACTCTGCTATGCAATATCAAATTTTTACCCAGGATTGGGGGAGATATTTTTTCCTCTTCACTATATGCATGTAATAGTTATTATCATAAACTGAAGTTCTACAGCAACAAAAGGAAGTATTTTTAGGTGTGATCTCATTTTGCAAAGGATAGAGTTATTCTAAGTATGTGCTTGTATTTTCTATTGTTTGCAGTAGCCACTAAAAGGTTAGAAAATAAAATGTTTCAGCACTTATTCCAGCATTCTTCTGGGTCTGATCCAAAAGCCATGGCAGTCAACGGGCTACTTAGCCACTGCTCTTTTTTTGTGGTGCTTAAATGAATTTATAAATCAATGTAACTTTTCCCTTTTTTTTGTAAAAACACCCATTTTTAGGCTGTACTACTAAAAAAAGTAAGCTGTAAAATCACTGGGTTTATTTTAACAGGGTTTTTTTTGTTGTTGTTGTTGGGTTTTTTTCTTTTTAGGGAAGGATATGTGTGGGTTTGAAGGATTTTTACCAGATATTTTAATCTAGCATATATGCATTACTCCTCAAATTTCATCTCCAGGTGCAGAGTCCTTGCAGAGTTATTCCTGTTAGTAAGGGGGATTCGGTGGTCCCAGAGCAGTGCCGAGCCCCAGCCGTGGCACAGCACACTCTTCCCCACGCCCTGGCCTCAAAGATACTCCTGTTGCAGACAAATGACAACGGCAGTAAGGAATTTGGAGGCTTTGTAAACTAATTTGTTCAGCAGCCACACCTTTTAATCAGGGAAGGAAATCTAGAGAATTCCAGATCCATGCAAAAACAAGGGAGACAGCGCTGGTGTGGAGTCCAGGTCCCGGCTGCGGGACAGTGGGGTATCTGGTAGTGGATTATAGTGCTGGCCAGAGCAGGTCCCTTAGCAGGGCAGTACACTCAACCCTGTGCTCCTAAGGGGAATAGAGAGGAGCTGTAAACTCTGGTCCTCTTAAGGGGAGTAGTTTTTAATCTGTGCTTCCTAAGGGATTGTGTCCTGAAGCACAGAGTGGGTTTGTATCAGCCAGGGGACCCTCCTCTCCTCTTTCAGGCCCTGGAAGAAGCTGTCCAAGTCTGGCAGCCAGCGGGTTTAGAGAGAGAGCCTGTCTCTTTTTAACAGCAGCTTCCAACACCTCTTCTTCTTTTGTTCTCCTTTACTGCTGGGGAATTTCCATTGCTTCAGCGTCCCTCCCCTTAGACAACCTGGGAGAAGTGAGTTTCCTTCAGCAGGGCCAACCTCCGCAGCAGCTGCATTGTTCTGCCTGGGCCCCGGTGGCCGGTGTCAGCCGCTCACCCCATTGTCCGCTGGTGGCTTCCAGCCGCTCTGCGGGATACGTGACATGGTCCCTGTCAGCAACAGGCCGAGCCAATATGAACTGATGGCTTGACTTACTTCAGAGGTCATAAAATAGACCTCAGCTGATGAGTATATTCTCGGCAGATTCCCCAGCTGCTACATAAAATTTTGAGTTAATGGTGTGTCTCTCTGTAATTCTGAGTTTATTTATGGTGGATGAGAAATAAGCCTTCTGCACCAGGTGTATTCTAGAGCAATAGAGTCCAAGCTTCTCAGATGCTTCCATCCCACAGGAGTGACCTTTTGGCCAAGGCCAACTTCTGAAGGGGCAGAGGACAAAGAAATCATGAAAACTCACTTCAGCCATTGTCCTTGAAAAGACCATGCCTCAGACCATGGCAAAAAGTCTCAACTGAGGATATTGGGGATTTTTCTTTCTAAGATTTCCAATAATTGGAAATTATATGAACTTTCATGTCCTGTTTTATACATTTTTTTTTAAAAGGGTGTTACTCTTAGCTATGACTTACGTTGCTTCTGCCTCTTCTCCCAGCGAGCAGTTTTTGTTACAGTTTCTTCAGCAGCAGAGCTGACTTCACAAGTTTCTAGCTGCTCTTTCCTACACCATGCTACACTTTGCAGCCCACTCAATCCTGAAAAAAATATCGTGCATGAAGACTCTGTGCATAAGATCACTGAAATAGTCCATGTTAAAAAAAAACAAGGTTGAATTGCATTTCTTTCTTAACAATTCAACTCAGTATGGTAGTCATAGGGGTCAACTTAGCCATGGAGCAGGACATAAGCCAGACTTAGAGCAGACAGAATTTTCTGAGTCAGGAATACACAGATAGGTAACTCATTACTTTGTGAGGAACCAGAGTGGAGAAACTGAAATGGGTGTCTCAAGATTCATGCCATTAAAATGACTGGAATGTGCAACAGTAAAACCCAGTCCTATTCTTTCTGATAATGATATATGTATTGTGTAATAATAATCCTAATGTGTTATCACTTTGGACAGCAATGCAACACTGTGTTTACTGTTGCATGAGGAGATGAGTTTAAACTTGTCAGAGGAAAAGACAGCAGGGCTCAGAGTCTCTTCACCATCTACATTTGCTGATCATTTTTGGAGGGTATATTGAAATCATATGATTGTACTATCTTTATTTATCTGACCCATTCCTGCCTTTGAAGTACTCTTTTAATCTGCATTTTATAATGTACTTGTCTGAACTTGGTATATTAGAATGGACTTGTTAAGTAGATTTTATATTCACAATTGATAGTATATGGAAATAATTTCGGGTTTAAAGTGTTTCAGATTTGTGGGAAATTCATTATAATAGGATGATGTCTGACATTTTTATTTGGAACATGGTCAGAGATATGCCTTTTTTATTTTTTTCAGGAAAATCTGTATTCCCCTACCAATACAGTAAATTGCAATGTTCTTTTACATGCCGAAGGGGTCGGGGGAGAGTTGTGGATGGTGGTGGGTCTTTTTAGGCTTGTTCTTGATTGTGGGAAAGTGTCATTGTTTACCTGACTAGAAATCCAGTACCATATTGATTATCCAGCATGAAATAAACTTAATTTCACCCTAGTGAAAGATAGAAAATGTTGGGAACTGTCA